ATATATATATTTATAATTGTATCATCATATATTTTAAATTATGTATAACATATTAATTATATATAACATTAACATGTTAATTATTACACATGTTACACAACACATTAATTACATATAACATGATAAACGTATATATTGACTGTAAGCATCCAGACAACTAAAATTAGATTGTAAGATGTTTTTTGTATCTAAAAGATGATTTAAAAACGTCTTATATCATAACTTTAGACTTTGTTTATTGAATAATTTCAGTGTTTTAGAGAAAACAAATTTTATTCTCTAATTCAATGATTTTTTTAATTTATGAGGAAGAAACTTCACTTTCATCGATATCATTTATCCTAATCCATTACATTAGTAATTAGGAGTTTACGATTTTATAAAAATATTCTAATTTATTCCGCATAATTATATATTTATATGCATGTATGTGTGCGTGTACGTTTATAATTTACAAAAAATGCTTTTAAATTGTGAAGTTTTCAATGAACTATGCATCATTTCTTTATATTTTCATAATTTGGACGGTTTATAAAATGCTTCATGAATAATTCTTATTCAACATGGGTAATAGATATTTTATAAATGAATGGGTTATCAGTTTGAACTTTGACACATGTTATCTCTTCATACGCCATATAATGTGTAAGCAAATTTAAATGAACTATTACTGCGTCTTACCGATATTATTTTTTTTATTTCTTTTGATCTAATAACTGCAGTAAAAACATGATGAAAGTAATACTTCTACCACGAGTAAAAGAACATTACATTTATTATAACCATTGTGAATACGAAAGAGTACAACTATTTATTTTACACGCATGAATTCCTTCATGTATATAATTTGTAGCAAAAGATGAATAAATAATGCTGCAAATGTGAACGCACACGTGTAGCACACAGAAATTATAATTATTATAATATGGCTGTTAATTTTATCATTCTTTTCGCGTATAAAAATTATATTAAAAGGAAATTATCAAAAATTAAAAATAATGTACAATATTTTATGTATTATATCATTTTATATTGCAAGAAACAGCCATAATATACAGCAATAACTGATAAAAATTTGATTTTCATTTTCGTATTGGTTTTTTTCCATTATATATGATTTAACAGCATTACCTGCAGGACTAAACCAAGTGTCGCATCGATCAACAACAAGAGTGCCACCGCCGCCGCCTAGATCTTCATCGTATGGAGGAAGATACAGTGGTCATTCCGGCTTCAGAAATACTGTAGGTGATGGCTCCATTTTCAATCGTTTATTCGGCGACCGTCAGCCTCGACCGACTAGCTCTGTCAGAAGCACTACGCAAACAAGTGGAAACAATTATTACAATACTCACACTCACATGGATAATCATGGAAACAGAATTTGGACATTTTCTGGTTAAAAATTTATTTACATTTCATTATTTTCATTTACTTTTCATTTCGAAATGTTAATGTAAAGTGGGTGCCAATATTGATGTTTATATCATTTTACATATATAGCACTAAATTATATTCCTTTGATCTGTGAAGTAATAAATACAATGTAATATTAATTACCCATAATAATTGGAATAAACTTCATTTATAAAGATTATAAATTTTTGAATAATATACAGTTTTAGATATGCAATAGAAAAATCGTAAAATTGTAAAACTGCTTCATTAAATAATAAAAAAATTGTGCTCTGTGGTGGTTAACATAATTGATCAAAGATATAATAATAATTCATCAAAAGATATAATCCTTCTTTTAATTCAAAATTTGAAAAATTCTTTCTTATTTTTTTAATTTTTAATATTCAGTAATTCCAATAAAATCTAAACTATTTTCATTTAATGCTTTGAGAAATCAAGTAAGGCACCTTTGCTTTAATTTAACTATTTAGTATGATAAATGATATGCACGCATACAAATACGAATTTGACTTTGCGCTATGCGCATGACAGTTGTTCCACATTTTTATCTCTTGAAGAGATAAAAAGATTGTTTAGCAATGTAATTCAATTTATAACATGTTGTGTGAAAAATAATTCAAATATGATTTTATTTCATTTTCTATTTAAAATATCTTATAGCATTGCAATGCGTGCTATAGTGCAAGCCTTATCTGCATGTGTGCACGGTAAATGTTAATCCAACAACAATTGACGATGTGCTTCTTGATAAAAATAGATTATACATATTTCACCTTTATTCCCTTGAATATTTTTTATAACTTGCATTGTTACTGTATGCAGAGAATAAAATGAGGACACGAACAATTCCAAAACGGCAAACTAGTTATCCGACGGCAACCGAGACACACGGCTCTTCAGATACTCCTAAAAATTCAGACGACCAATCGTATCCTGCTAGATCTTCTGATTATTCATCCAGTTCAGGATATCCTGGTAGCAGTTATCCAAATTCCGGATCTTCGAGAGTTTCTGATTTATCAAATCAACCGCAATCTGGTTATCCATCCAGCGGATCGTCCGGTTATCCGACTAGTGGATCATCCGGTTATCCGTCCAGTGGATCATCCGGTTATCCGTCCAGTGGATCATCCGGTTATCCGTCCAGTGGATCATCCGGTTATCCGTCCAGTGGATCATCCGGTTATCCATCCAGTCAATCATCTGGTTATCCAAAAAGTGGTTCTGGTTATCCATCCAGCGGATCGTCCGGTTATCCGACTAGTGGATCATCCGGTTATCCATCCAGTGGATCCTCTGGTTATCCTTCAAGTGGCTCATCCAATTATCCATCTAGAGATAGTTCCGGTTATCCAATAGGATCTGCATATCCAAGTAGAACTAGTGATTCTTCAGGATATCCAGATAATTCTAGGAATTTTAATGGCGAGGAGACTGTTAAACGAACCAGCGCTAGCGCTGTAAATGCTGGTTATCCGAGCAATCCACGCACATCCGCATATCCAGAAAGAAATCCATCATACGGTGCTAACTATCCGGCTCAAAATACAGGATATCCGTACAATAACCAACGTTCTCCATATCCTAATCAAGGATATTCAAATGGGTATTCACAAAATTATCCGCAAGGAGGATATTATCCGCCAGCAGGATATTATCCCGAAGGACGTTATCAAGGTCAAAATTATATGACTACTACCAACCGTCCTGGCATTCGAGATCAATTGACGAATTTTGCACGAAATATGGCAGAGAAGGTGCTGACGCAAACGATACTAGATCGCATCACAGGCAGACATCAATAAAATAACAGTACTAGCATTTTTTGCATTCTATAAAATCTGAGTCAAAATGATTAGTTACAAAAATATTAGTTACATGTATAGAAAATAGCACTTTCTAAAATCTTTTTTTTTTCTAAAGAATATCGTTTATATAATTTAAGAATTTTAGGCATTAAATATTTTAGCAAAAATCTAGTCTTAAGTTAACTTTCAGGAAGCAGATAGTTCAGTGAAAAAGTTATCGTCAGACACAGAAGGTGTATTATACATTTCTTTATATATTAAAAATTTTTAATTTTCTTATGTTAATACATATATAAAAATCTTTTATATAGATATTAAATTCTTTTAAAATATTTTATCGTTTATAATTTGGATTTTAATGTGATTTATTTTGTTAATAATAAATGGAATAATTTAAAAAAGGATGTCTTTTATATATCACAGATATATTTTTTGCAGATTAGGAATATATATATATATATATACA